CTGTTGATTTAAAAAAAAAACGTTCATGCCCCGCATTCCAATGCTGGAGCAGAAAAGCTTGAAATACCTACCAAAACACTTGAATAAAGACATACTGTCAGTATGGAAATGCTCTGTGCAGGTGTTAATCAAGTTAAATCCCAACAGCCAATCAGCAAGAAATGCTCTGTGCAGGTGGAAATGCTCTGTGCAGGTGTTAATCAAGTTAAATCCCAACAGCCAATCAGCAAGAAGTATAGAGGAAAGCTGCATGCCTATTGGTTGATGCCCTGCATTCCATTGTGATGACTCATGCCCAGACGTGTAAACACGGCACACTAACACAGTAATACATTTGCTATAACACAGCCAAAAAACTCAAATAAAACCATTCTAAAAGCCTGTATCACAAAAATTTAAAAAAAGCCTAGGGGTATTTGCCCACTGTACCTCCATACCAAATTTCAGGACCTTAGGCCCTAAAATGAAGAAGCTGAATCCATTTAAAAAATGGCAGGAGAAGAAGAAGAAGAAGAAGGAGAAGGAGAAGAAACATCAGAAAAAGCAATATGGGTTCACCACCACTTCGTGGTGTGGTGAACCCATAAAGAGGGTTAGGATACTAGTAAAACGGTATGGTGGCCAAATTTTCCTAGCCACTTATTCTCCCTGGATAAATTCTACTGCTTTTTTTAAACCCACTGTGTTAGTCTAGTAGAGACTATGGATAAAAAAACTTTCAGTATTGCTTTCTGATCGGCTGTTTTCTAACGGACGGAGTTATCAACCAAGATTTGAAGTGTTCAGAAACTCCTTTTTTTCCCTAGAACTATTGTAGAGTGGAACTGGCTACCACCTAATACTGGCTATCTTCAAATATAGAAACCTAAGGAATCTGGTAGACAATCGGTTCTGACAAAAAGTTTCAAGGTTCTGACTAGAACTTGTCAGTTTCCAGACTTAGGAGCGTCGCCGCCATTTTCCCTCTCCTTCCTAACTTTCCCGCCAATTTTCCCTGCACTAATGGAGGTCAGAGGTGGCCGGCAGGAGGTGATATACTTGTCTGGGCGCAGTGCAGGCTGTTCTGTGTGTAAATTAGTTCGCAATCAATACTAAAGTGGGAGTCTCGGTGATGAAGTCTCTCCGTGTGGCGGGCAGGGGCACTTCTCCGCGCGGATCGATATGATGGGGGAAGGTGAGGTGGCGGGAAGCAATCTGCGGGAAGTAGTTCGGTAAGAGACAGGTTGGACCTCTGCCAGAGGACCATGGGAAGAAGAGGGGTGGCCTAGCCTCTACCAGGCTTCAGAAGCGGCTGGAATTTTTAGAAATTGGCAAAAATAGACAAATGTTTTACATACCGCAAAAGTGATACGGTTTGCTGTCCCCGGCCAATTTCTACTCTTTCCAACCGCTTTTGAAGTCACATAGATGCTAGGGATGCATAGCCATGGCCCAGGGTCTGGAATGGACTTGGTGAATGCAAGAAGGTTAAGTACCAGATTTTAAACCTCCTTGGTGAAAGTTTGGACAGAAGAAAAACATCAAGAACCGAAAATTGGGGATGAAAAATGTTACACTATTAATACGATCAAAAGTATGAAAGTAAATAGATGGAAACCAAAGGCTTTCAATACTTTAACTGTAAGTCTGATATATTTACAGAGAGGTGGGAGAGGAGATGGAGAGAGGCAAGAAAAAAGGCACACACACACACACACACACACACACACACACACACACACACACACACACACACACACACACACGCACGTACACGCACGTACACGTACATATACGCGCACACGCACAAACACAGACGCGTACGCACACATGCACACAAGCACACACTCACGCACACAAACTACAGTGTAACAGCAACAACGCAATATGTTTCTTTAATAAATCTCCTTGATACAACGTTTGTTAAGTTTAGCAACTAGTGTTTTCTACACCTAGGACAAAAATCGCGACAATTGTAGATTGTTATTGTATTCTACATACATTGTACCAAGAAAAACTGATTATAAGTAACTTTTTATATTTTGAACGCGCTTTGTGTGCCTGAGAAATGCATACAGTACCATGCACGGCGGGGATATTGTGACTAAGTAAGACCCGTGATGTACCCGTACTCCAAACTCGTGAATTTACCCAGTACACATGCATATGACAAATTACTGGGCTAGTCGTGGATGTAAATTGCTATAGAGGCCATGGGGCAGGCATATTACATTTGCTTTCAGCGGGCAAGTTGATTCATAGTGTGCCGGCTGAGTGTGCATAATTGGCGCGCTGTTGGTGGGCCACCATTTTTATTCCCACAGATGTCCGTATTAAAATTCTGACGGACCGTTACTTTTATTTACGGTACGCAAAATTCGTAAACACACCGCGCAAAAAAGTTACGTTTTTTCACGAACATCTTTCTAAAAGATAGAAATAGTATATAGAAGTTCCGGTAATTTTAAAGAAATAATGTGTAGTTTTGGGCACTTTTGTTATTTTTTCAATAGTTTGAGCGAAAAGAGTTGAGTTTACGGTAAGCGCAAGCGGGGCACCATCCGCGCTCGATTCGTGGGAAAAGAGGGATTGTATGCAAATTTATGCAAATGACAACAGCGTGAAATATGGGTCCGTTCTCCTCCACTGCATGAGAACTGCTTACTCTCACAGAACGTCGCCCCGCTTTCCCGGGAAAAATTGGACGCTTTGATCGATGATGCAAATTGATGAGGGAAAAAGAAGGAAAATAAATTGCCGTCATTTTGGCGGGAAGTCGAAAAGTGAACGTTTTCATAACGCGGCATAATTTTATCACCGTAGCGTTTTGTACACACAGGAGGAATCGAATAGTGGAATGGTTGGGGTCAAATTACCTTAAAATGTACATTCTGTATAATGTCCTTGCATACACCATGATAATACTAGTCTACAAATTCAAACACAATGTGCTTTCTACTAAATTATAGCAAAAACAACTTTTTTTACCTTATTTACTATACATATAGGTATAAAAAACATGATATCTATAAATCTTAATTTTATCAATACACTGCATGGAATAAGGCACGGTTTCGGGAGCTATCCAATCGAAAAAATAACGCAAGTGTTATCGAAACGCCTGCAGCTCTGTCTTATTCCAGTGTATTGTCATTTTGTAGTTGATTGTACATTATATAGAAATGAGAGGGATTCCCTGATTTCCCTCTATACTTATATAAAGGATAAGTTCTCTAGCGTTAGACTTTTAGATGAAACAGAAATATTCCTATTCCTTATGAAACTTGACAAACATGTATCGTTAGCTCCATATGTTCATACATCTACAACTGCCTCAAGAAGCGAGAAGAAGTTAAACCTGTAAATAGTAGTTCACATTAGAATATGTAAAGTAAGTTATTGCTGTATTCTTTTCCCCTGTTTATTTATGACCTTTACTTAGCGCTTGTAAGAACATAAACGTACAATAAATGTCTTTCATTCATTCATTCATACATTCATTAATTTAAGATTGATAAGTATTTCTGAATGAGTAGCCTTCATAAACGTATGTATGTTTCTTATAGTCTTTATACGTTCGACACTTAATAAGCATGGAAGGTTATATTTTCCGCGTTTCAGTACAAAATTAAGGAGGCAGGTGTTTCTTGACGTGTCCTTGAGATTCTTATCTCCGAGTCTACCTGTCAAGATTTGATAAATGGGTAAAATGTTAAAGATGTGGCTGGACAAGAATAGGCCATGACTTGCATGTTATCTGTCATCTACATTTTGTTTAAAAAACCCAACTTTTTTACCATTCTATTCTGCAGCCTAAGAATATTTTCTAAAGTTATAATATCACTTTTCTTTCTTGTGTTTCCGTTTGTTTTAAAGCCTCCTCGACACAAGCTTGAAATATCATCTTTATTCTTATCTTTTTACTCGGCAATGTTTGAAAAACTCAACCTTGCCCTGTTAATTGCATTCATTCTCTTCCGTTCGCATGTTTTTATATCGTCTAACACTAAAATTGCCCAATTTGCCAATTGTTGTGTATATTAGAGTAACCCAATCGGATGAGCGGCAAACTGACAACTATTATTAGCGTTCATTCCATACCAGATCGAGTTATGATTTGATTGACACTTGTATCTGATAACCTGTTTTACAACAAAGGACCCCTCCCAGACCGGGTTGATATTGCCAAGAACATTATATAATGTCCTTGGTATTACAGTTACGCGTTTACGCGTTGTACAATGGGTGTAGAGGTTTCAATATTCACATAAGAGCACGCCGCTAGAATTCCCTTTTTTTGAGTCGCATTCGAAAGTCGAGATTGTTTTATTAAAGCTATGGACTTGCAAATTGAGACCAACCGTTTAGCATATTTTCGCATAAGTGCATTCAAACGATGGTATAAAAGATGTGATGTTTTCCTGTTTTCAGCCTCATCTAAATTTCATGAGATATGGATTGGATGGTATTCAAACCCAACCATGTGCACATTGTGGCGGAAATCGTCACGTTTTTCTGACTTGTCGACTAATAATACTGATACCTTCGCTTGGCAATTATGTATACAGTTGATATTATATATTATATATTACCTCTTTTACCTTCGTATACGGAGGTCTTGTTTCCGGTGTGTCTGTGTATTTGTGCGCTAAACATATCGGGGATGCTGACAGAAAGTTAGGTCAAAGATCCAGAAAAGTAATTAAAAGGTTATCGTATTTCCTGTCTTCAGTTTGCTGCTATTCATGTTTGTTGCCATAGAAAGAAAATTCACCAAAGTTCGAAATATTTCAAGCAATTATGAGATCTTCAATTCTTTCAAGTGCATTGTAAACATGTAAACATGCTACATGAATGACCTTACTGTAATTATGTTCTAGGCCAATTATGACGTCGACCCACAATCTTACACCATATTGGTGGTTTTCAACTTTCTCATTGTGCCTTATGTTATGCTTAGCGCTTAGTTCGGTGTGGTACGGCATATTTATAGATGTGTTCTCCTTTTTTTTCTTCTTCAGAACCTGAATGGAAGTTACTGAAGGTTGGTGCCCTCGGGGTCAGGAGACGATGGATCGGGTGAATTCACCGTGGCGGTGGAAATTATTCCTCGGCTCCACCCACTTCCCTGCGCCGCCGGACTCCCCGCCGCGGCCCGGTCCCGCCCCGTGCAGGTGAGAAGAATGGGAACAAAGGACGCGGAGAAACCACGGCGAGCAGGGCCGGACGGACACACCGAAAGGGTCGTCACGCCGAGTTACCGGGAACACAGGCTGATGCTCACTCTTCCATCCGACTTTTCTACCCCCATGGTCTCAAACAGCCTGTAATGTACAGAAATGCATCTAATTATATCATACTCATTTGGAGAAGACATACCAACGCTGGGGAGCGTTGAAAATTTTATGCAAATTCATCAAACTCTCAGAAGAAGCTACATTGTCTTGGAAGCCAAAACCAAGAGCCGAGAAAATAAAGTAAAAAGTGATTTTATAAAGAGAGAATGTACTAGTATTAGAAGTTTCTTACTCTATCAATGAAGCAGAAGAAGACATTATAGAATGATTGTAAAAATGTGTATATAGCTACGTTCTCGGCAATATGTTACTGTCTAGATATTGATATTTTAAAGACGTTTTGCAAATAGTTCAATAGTTGCTGACCAAAGCTTCATTGATCTAAATATAGAGAAGTTTGCTTTGCTAGTATATTGAGCGAAATTCGTACCACGTGTTTTCCATTTTTTTCTTCTTTTTTTTCCTGAAAAGCTTTAGTTAGCTTCTGGTTGTTGGAACACTCAGGAAAGGATAATATCATAATTAACAGAATTTCGTTAAAATGAAGTAATTGTTCCCTACTTCAGGTTTGATTCAGAGTCATTAGTGTTATTCAGTATCGCTCTGTCCACTTAAGTTTTGATTCTTTGTCGGAAACAAATGGTAGTTAATATAATTACTGTTCACATCCTTTACATTGTAACGGTCCTCTTTATGCGGGCATTTGTTTGGCATGTCTGTGATTCAGAAGAGCAGATTTCCTAGCGGACAGAGCCCTTTGTCCTGCTCATCTGTAGAGCAGTGATGATTCAATCTGGCATTGTTTCTGTGTGATGTGGAGAGAGCAGGGCCTACCGGGGGGTACGGGAAAACCGAGAAGCGAGGAAAGCAAACCATGCATACATGAATTATTTGTCAGGTAACTAGAAGGGCAGCCAGGGTTCAACCGTGTTTTATCCAATGTTTACGGACTCGACAATCGTCCTGTGGTTTAGTTCCTTGTCTGTTTCTTACATCTCGATTTGTAGAGTGCCCGAAGTTTGAATGAACATACAGGGCGGTCAAGTGGCGAGTACTGAGGATCCTCACCTCGGAAGAATGGCGTAATAGTGTCGCATTCAGCCGCACTTTTCAACATACAGAAAGGAGACCTATCGCCTGTAACAATACACAAGAGTTTCCTCAATAAAGCGGCATTGTTCACGCATTGAGGCGGTTTGGGTGCGCTCCAGATTGTGTGTTTGTCTGCGTTTCACTTCGTGTTTATTTTTCAGAGCAGCTAACCGAGAACCAGAATGAGAAAGATGGATAGGAGGGGGGGGGGCAGTTAGTCATGTCTCACAAGTTTCCTCTAAATTTTTTTCTATAAAAAACTTCCAAAGTACCGCGTTTCTTTTTTCTTCTAACGTGTTTCCTTTGCTTGGATAAATAAATGGGACTTTATTCGCAAACACCACGGCAACTTAAAAATATGTGTCTTACGTAGAGGGCTACCCCACACGATTGCACGATTTACAAAAAAATCAGCGTGCTCGACGAAACGGAAATTATTCCCCACATTGGTATAAACGCGTGCTTTAGAGGTGGCGAAAATGTTATTCCCTCTCTTGACTGGATCATTAAAGGGGATGGGAGAAATGGTTGGGCGTTCGCCGCCCGTCGCCCGGGTAACAGCATCCGCTCGTGATGCGGTCCATTTGGCGGCTGAAGTCCCCGAACAATGGAGGAGTGAAATATTATAAAGTGCGTGGCGCAGCGGGCAGAGAAAGGGGCTTGTTTGATCATCCGTAGGGCTGAAAATAGCAGGGTCAATCCCCGGACTATGGGAACATTGTGTCCCCAGATTTTTCCCTCCTGTAGCTTTTGGAGTTCCAAGGACGGGCCGTAAAACAGCTTTGTGTATTTTTGTCCAAACTCGCTTTCCATACAACGTCTGTATTATGACAACAGATTTTATCTTTGGGGTGATGCTTTTGGGTAAAAAGTAAAAAAAAAGGACCGTAGCTTTTTCAGGCCGTATAGCGGCGGCGTATAGGGCCACTGCCTTTTACCTCCTCAAACACATTGTACGACCCAATTTAGATCTTTTAACCTCCTTGGTAGTAAGTTGGTACATTTATTCAAAGTAGAGTGAGGAAAGTCGTGTGAAGTGCCTTGCAAGGAATAGAACCCGTAACAGCTCGATTTCGTGTCCGCTAGCCTGTTAGCACTCAACTTTTGCGTCTTTTTTGTTGCTAATTTTTCAGACAAATTAATCCTTATTTTATAACAGCGACTGAAAATTTCTTCCGAGGTTATGAAACATTAAAGACTTAATGACCGTAAATGATTGTAAAATGTATAAAGTTGTAAAATTTAAAAGAAGCGGTTTCTAAAGATAGCACCTGCAGGTTAGATATGTGGTCGGAGGCGTGTTGCACAAATCCAGTGGCGTAAGCGGCGTTGGGGCGCAAATCCTCTGTTGTTTACGGTAATTTACGCCAGGGGGGAGGGCAGCCAGGTCAACCGTAACGCTCCCGGGTTGTTTAGTCACAACGGGAGGGCTGACACAATCTTTTGGTCCCAACAACTATTAAAACTACTAATGTCGATCACAAAGTTTAAAGAGCATTGCATCGATACAAGGGCTAGTTTTTTCTTCAGTGCATTTTTTTAAAATTCGTTTTTGGTCTAGCGTCGATAAGCGTAGTTGGAATTTATCTAAGGCACGTCAACTCTACTTTGTGAAACGAAGTGAAAAATTCAGCTTATCTGCAAGAATCAGTGGCTCGATGTGACAGCTTCAAACTTTCTTCAAGAAGAAAAGAGGAAGAAAATCTCACGCACGGGGACATTTTACTCACTTTCGGTTTGTTCTTCCGCAATCTATTGTTGCTCTAAATATCCCCGCCATTATTCAGCATAAATCATGCTTAGGATGTCAGGAATACTGCCGAAGATTTAGCAAAGATAAATGAAGCCAGCCCCAAGCGGCCTATCTCCTGACCCCATCGCAGTTGAGCCTCTAATTTTTTCTTACTACAATTAAGGCATTTATGGCCGGGGGGTAGGGGGGCTTGTAGCACCATGAATAACTTAGCACCTCGTACAACCACTTGTTGAGTAACGATGTGCCAACAGATTGGGGGGATGGTCACTGAAGGGGGTAAATATTCATTAGATTTACTGAAATACCGGTACTTGGTACATAGTCGCTAAACCGCGGGTGGCAAGATTATACCGCCGGGGTGTCGGGTCGTCAGGCCCGCCCGAAGCGCTGGTGTCCGCGCGGGGCACGACACCGGGCCGACGGTAATGTTGCGAAAATCCGCCGTGACGAATTCGTGCACAATACCGGTCTGAAATTAGCGCTGGAAAAACCGGAGGACGTCAGCATGTGTGGAATCTTTGGTAGGTAATCGCCTGAAGTACAAAATGTACAAACTTTTTTTTTGCCTTGAACTTCTTGAAGAATTGTTCATGTTATTTACAAACAGTAGATATATCTCCGAAATGATAGCATCAAAATGATAACGATAACATCAACACGCAGACGCCATTTTCTTATTGAACATTTTCCAAACACTCCAAAAACTGGAAGAAAAAAATATTCCTGACATTTTGTGTCAGACAGATGTCTTTCGTATTAAACATTTGTACACGAATGTAGGTAAAAGATGTTGCGGTACGATTGCGACTTTGTTGAAAAACAAAGCAACCAAAACGATCATTTCTTCTGCGTAATTTAAAGTGATTGGCCCGCGGGCTCGCCATTGGCTAACGCGAGCCAGCTGCTTTGTCTGAGTGACAGACAGATCGTACGAACTGCCTTTCTTCTCACTGAATGACGAATAATGAAAGTATCTGTTGGCAAATTGTGGTATGAAAGGCTTGGGGAAGAAATTATTGTTTCTTAAGTGGCGGGTTGACTATTGAGGAGCGGTAGGGCTTTCTTCGGCGCCGTTCAAACCTGATGGGACGTGTCATTGCGTGGCAAGGTGATCCCCTCTCCAACAAAGACAATTCGAACGACGGCGGATAAGAGTCAACAAGGAGCATTGTTCGCGTCAGGCAGTTTTGAGACGAGTGTAAACGTCTGTTCTATGTAGGTAAGGACACGGGTTCGCAGCCCAGAGGACCAGAGGTCGGGGCTTCTTCCAAAGCAGAAAAACATACGTACAGACTTGTGTCCTCATGTGAACCAAGGATAGGACGTCCTTTTGTGAACCATGTTTGTTACCATTATATAAGGCTAGAATCATTCCTCTACCTCAGTGACAACAAGAAAAATGCCAAGAAATCTAGCGTTCGTGCAATGATGATGAACTGTAAGATAGAAACGTAAGATAGAAATATTTGAAAAAAATCGCTATCTCGGCTTACAGTAAAATCATGTCAGAAATCGTTCATCTTTCACTAATACTTTTTCTAATAAAAAAATAAAGTCGAAAAATACACATCAATCGAAACGCTCAGATACCTTCATCTCTTCCACCTAGATATTTTTGTTTCACCATGGTGAACGTCCTTGGTTGCACGAATTTATAGACAAACCATAATTTAAATTACATGTTACCGTATTTAGTAATTTGATATTCTGTATTAAAAGTTTATGTTTGTAAATAAGCCCTAGTTTACGCAATGAGGTTACGGCTACAACGATATGTACTTTGTCAATTGGTGCATGAAGGTGCTAAATAATCTTTTATTCATTCCTTTATTATCCATTAATACAAGCTTTAGTTGTGAATAAACTGTTTATTGTGTAAATCTTTATTTACAAGTGCGTAATAAAGTTATCAATCAGGGCATAAGATCTTTGGACTGTTAATTTTATTTGTCCCCCATCAAAAATTTTCATGATGGCGGCGATTTCTAAGAACGTTCCGTTTTTATTGCGTCTTCTTTGTAAAACAGGACCCCCTCAAAGAAGCATGTTGTCATTACTGCATTAATTAGTTCTCACCCCATCAGTCATCATTATAAATAGTTCAGGGGGATGAATTTACAACTTAAAAGCGGTAAATAGGCCTGGTCCAATTCCCGGTTGACAGATTTGAAAACATGACTAATCCGCGGATTGACCCCTCTGACCCCTATGACGTCATTTCCGAATGTCAGGGTCATTTTCAGTAGTTCTCACGGGACGGGGGAGGGGGGCATCCTCCGAATCATATCCGTTAAAAAATTGTACCTGATTAAGAATATTGTGTGGGGAAATGGGGAAGAACACACCAGTC